GAAAAGCACTTTGCCCACTCGTCCTTAGGGGTCTCTTCAATGGCATCGCGATACGCAGCCACCGCTTCTTCAGCATTCATAAACCGCTTTCCTTTAAGTTTTTCTTTAATTTTTGGAAATAAATAAAAATCACAAGGCGCGAGGTCGGGGCTATACGGCGGGTGACCCAGTAATTCAACGTTTGATGTCGCCAAATAGTCGATCGTTCGCTTGGCGGTGTGCGACGAGGCGTTGTCGTGGTGAAGGAGGATCCTACTGCGAGGTCGTTTCTCTCGAACTTTTTCCAAGACAAGTGGCAAACAATTGGTAGTGTACCATTCTGCAGAAACTGTTTTTTGATCCTCTAACACAATTGTTGCAAAATGACCTATCCTTCCAAAGAACGAGGCCACCATTTTTTTTCCCGCACTTCGATCTCTCTTCACTTTAGTTGGCAACTCCTCGAAAGGAAACACCCACTGAGCAGATTGTCTTTTGGTTTTAGGATCATAACAGTAAATCCAGCTTTCGTCACCTGTTAGTATGTCGAACACAGCATTTGAGTCACCTCCGTTAAATCTTTCAATCATTTTACGACACCAATCCACACGATGGAGTTTTTGAGCCTCAGTCAAATTATGAGGTTTCCACCGGGCGCAAAGCTTCCTGACCGCTAAATGTTCGTGGAGGATTTTGTGCACTTGACTCATACCGATGCCTAAGCTTGTCCGAATCTGTTGATAGGTCACTCTTTTGTCAGTCTCTATCATACGCCGCACAACACAGATGTTATCTTCAGTCGTCGCCGTAGAAGGCCGTCCCTCACGTAAATCATCAGTGAGATTAGTGCGACCACGTTTAAACTCATTAAACCAGTTGTAAACAGTCGCACGAGATGGGGCTTCATCGTGAAAGGCCAATCGTAGTCTATCATAACTTTCTTGTTGACTTAAATGACATCGAAAGTCATAAAAAATCATTGCACGAAAATTTTCTCGTGTTAAATTCATGATGACGTGACACAGACAATTTTCAATTTGCCGCCAAATCGTAAAACAAATGACAAATGAATGAAATATATACTCAGTAATATTGGCAAAGAGTTATATTTTCAAATTTTAGAATTATTTTTTTATTATATTGTTTATAAGTGGCCAGTTCTAAGAACTTTCAGTTTGACCCTCGTATTATTGTAAAACTGTTTAAATTTGACAAATTTTTAGTTTTAAAAAAGATCAATAATAGAAAATCTTTCTTAAAACTTCCAAGAGTTTATAATAAAACCCTTTTTCTTGTTTCCTATTCAAATCAATATCAAATAAATGATTAGATTTCGTTAGAATGTCATTTAAAAAAAAATTCAATGGATGTTACATTTAATTCTTATTAAGTATTAATCGTTTTTAGTGGTCTCATCAGTAGGTTTAAAAAGTTTTTAACTTACTCAATTAAACACAATACAAAAAAATAGGCTAAAAATTAAAAAAAAAGTAAAAATGACGTAAGTAAATTTACTCACTTTTCAGATCCAACGAATAATCCATGACCAGCATTCAAATTGCCTTCAAAACTTATTCTAAACCAATGAAGAGTCGAAGCCAAATTTAAAATTCGCAGCCCTTCATCGACCATCTCAAATTGAGCCACATTGAATACGCCCTGAGCTACTGTAGAAACTTCTACCAGAGTTATTTCCAAATCTTCAGCGTGGAAAGTTATGGGTTCTTCTCTTGTCCCACTATCGATACGCACGTTTATTAACACAGTTCCACTAAACGTTCCACTTTCCAAATCAGGTTCAATTTCAACTGCATAACTTGAAACAGACATGCCAGGCCTTAGTACGTTTCTTACTAAATCTTTATTATTCGTAATCACATTTTGATCTAGCACATTTTCAGGTGATTCGTTCTTCAAAAAATCTAAATTTTTTATTTTTGAAATAGGTAAAGAATTGGAATTCACAATTATACAAATAAAATATAAAACCTTAATTGGAATCATTTTCACAAATTCGATTCCAACATTTGAATTTAAAATTTAAGGCATTCCCAAAAAAAAATAGTGTCATCAAATATTTTTACACATAGTAAGTGATGGACCACAAAATCAGAACTAAAGAGAGTTTCTACTCTTATTACAGTTATTTTTATTGATAAAAATCGTGTTGATAAAAACATTCACGTTCGTGTCAAAAAAACAGTACACAACATTAAACTGATCTTTACAACTTATACCTACTCAAAAATGTATAGTAAATAAGTCAACATTTTTCACAAGTAATAGACGAGAGGTATTGATAAAAAACAATTACATTCACTGAAAATTATTTAACAGTAATAACTCTTGCTGAATTATCTAGACAACTCGTTTAAAATTTTTGTTCTAAATTCTAACTTATAAACGTTCAAATAACAGAGGAAATTATTTAAAAACTGTTGCATTCTAATTGGTTTGTAAAAGCTTATGTTATGATGAGTTATGTACCACGAACATAGTTCATCAACTTGGTTCGTTTATCTTTATTAATGGTTAAAGTCATCGTAGTTAACTTTATGCTTTGCGCAGATAGGAAAGTGGTAGACTCATTTCTGGAAATTAATACTTATACTGCAAGCGAAAAAATAATATAAAATATTATATTATTAAAACAAAATCAAATCGAAGTCATTTATGCAATCTAGGTCGATACAAGTCGTCAAGATTGGAAAATTACTACATTAAAATATGATATCATTTTCCATCACAAGATTGGAACATATAAAAAAGTATATATAAATTAAAAGTTTAGTTTAAGTAGTGTATACCTTACCCCATAAATATTGCTCGAACTTTCTATAGCCTTCATGACGGCATAAGATTTTACCTTTGTTTTCATTGTTAACATTGATTTTCGAATACTACTTATAATATTGGTTCTAGAAATGAGCCTTCCATAATACACAGAATGTGATTGAACAAGATCTCAATCATTCATCTCCCATTTCTCAAGCCATAAATACAAATTTCAACATAAGTTCTTTCAGATCAGTGGTATCGAATAATTTAAATAACTGTAAAACAATAATGTTTTGTGACCGATTAGGACAGTACTTTTTCTTTAAACATAAATTGATACATTTTTTGTGGCCTGAAGTGTATAGTTGTCACATTTTATTAAAGATTGAGTGATATCGTTCTGCTTATCATTTAACCACATTATTTGAGAACGCCATCTGTTGTGTAAGGCCGATGAGCTCGTTTTCGTCTTTAAATGCGTCTTCAGTCTTGTGCTTCATTTACAATTAAACTCATTCCCTCTCTCAGACTCATTGCTCCTGAAATAAAAAAGATATACATATTGAATAAATATGAATATGTTGAATACATATTATAGAACTAAAATACATACTATAGAACTAAAAATATCGCGGTGTATGATGTTAGGAAACATAAATACTTAAGTTAGTTATTTACCTTGTAGTATTGCTATCTGAGTATCTTCAGATACGGGTCATGAAAAACTGGAGTATTTAAATACACAAAGGTTCGTGGTCTGAGTTATCTTCCAAAATATCATTAAAATAATACACAATTTCGTGCGGCTTCATTATTTTATGCCTATACATACCTAAACACGTGAAAAACGCCCTTAGAAAAGCGAACGCGTACGTTCTTTACGCACAGCGATATCTAACGTAATAATGTTCCGTGTGATCAATTGACTGCTACATAAACAAAACACAACGTTCAATTGTTTGTTCGTACATTCATCTCCTTGCCACTCCCGTATGTTCCCGGAGCAAGAACTATATTTCGAATAATCCTTCAAATAATGACGAGACAAAAATGATCCAGCGGCATTTCTAGTTATTACAAATTTTCCAAAAGTATTGCCGATATAAAATTGAAAATATTTAAAATTAAATAAACGTATAAAAAGTCAAAAAAGCCTTATTGTATGTTATTTTTTACAATTATTTTAAATTAGGAAACGGGATCATTCATTGAGAGTTGGTAGTCGGTTGTTAATTCTTGCGCCTTGGTAATTTAAAGTTTAGCTTCATGAGTTTTAAAGATTTTATATTTTTTATTTTTTATTATTAAATAGTTTTTCTAAATCAAATTAAATTCTGTAATTTAAAGCTGTTTTAAGAGGCAACAGAGATTAACTGTGAGCACGTCGAAGCATCAACATAATAAGTTAAGTAATTATATTATTTTGTTTTAGACCTAACGTCACATTTAAAGTTATTTTGATACTTGGCAGAGGTCTTCTATAAGTTATTAATTAAATGATAGGCGCCCGACTTCAATAGCATTTTCTTGAATAAGTCGCTTTTGAGAAAATAATAATTTATCATATTTTTTTAAGTTTGACTTCGGTTCTATTTTTTATTTCATGCGTTTTAGTAATATTGATATTTAACATATAATAAGTAACAATTAAAAATATTAAAAATCTATATAAATAAAAATATTCAACATAGTGAAAGTCTTAGAAAAGAAGATTGTAAACAATTTATTCAAATAATTCTATACTCATTTTTTAAAAAGAGGAAAGATTGGATTGCTTATTTCTTTCACCTATGGGAAGCGACTTCGAAAGCTAGTTCTAAAATAAAGATTTTGAAGTATTATGAAATCTATTACAGATTCTTTAAATATAAACAACGAATGATTATTTACAAAATGTTTATTGTATAAAAATGTTCTCTCTGTATATATTATTTTTTAATTAAAAATGTATTGCTTATTTCTAAAATATTACATTTATTTTTCAACAAATATAAAAACAGTTTTTATATATTTCAACCGTTGTATTTATTAGTCACTAATTTAATAGATTTTAATACATTTCATTTCTAATATTTAATAATGTTAGGATCGTTTTTGGTTATTTATAATTATATTAATGCAGAGTAAGTATACTCAATTAATGAACATGCATTTAAACAACATACGTAGGTACATAAAATATAGCATGTTTTATATAAATTCACAAAAACCTGGAATTTTCAATTGAAATATTTTTCTTCTGCTTATGATTGATTGAATAGTGTCACAAGTAAAGAAAGAAGTACTAAGGCACTCGCAGTCATAGCTGACGCACTATCCGGAAGATAATAATCATTGATCCAAGATTCCACGTGATCTAAGTTTTGATTATTCCATGATATCGAAGCTGCGATGTTCTCCCTTATAGCTGCTATTGAAGCTAACTCGCCCGCAGTGAAGATGTTTGCATGATTTGTAGCAAACTGCTCAATCTGGTGGATGTAAGATTAGTTCATAAGTTGCAAAATTATTAATAGTTTCCATGTTGACGTTATATTTATAAATTATTACAGTTGAATCATAAAAAAGGATATGAACGATGGAAATCAGTGTATTCGTATTTGGGGAAATAATCGTCTAATTAGCTCAATTACACTGTAGTTAACTCATTTAGTTCGAACACTAAAGAAAGAAATGAAATGAAAAACTTTGGAAGGCACGTGATACCATTGGTCACGTTTGCGTATGTACCTCGATATAAATTATGGCCCTTTCTCAGATTTTACCAACGCAGAGAATCATCCCTGTGCCGCAGAAATAGCATCAATCGGCAAAACAAAAGACAATAATTTAGCCAACATCTACCACTTGCGTGAGTCAGCTAACATCTGAAAAGCTTTTGAAAATGTTTTGAATGACCCTGCTTCTATATATTTACCTTTTGTAAATGAGATGTTGTTGTAAGTCTGCGGGCCAGAGCATTTAGAATGTTTGTGGTACCAGTCAAACCTTGAACACTGACAAGAAGACAAATATGTTAATTTATAGGTTCCGTATATTTGTTAAATTTGTTGATAATAAACAAAAAACAGGTCTTACTTCGGTTGTATCGATGGGAAGTTTGCAATGATGAAGTCGAGGGCATATTCCATATTTTCTGGTCCAGAATTAATAGTAGCAACGGCGATAGTATGCCTGTCTTGTTCTCGCACGAGTGAGTTTTCGTCGATCATTTGATTTAAATAGCTAAAATAATTATTCCACTTTATTATATTTTACACAAAAAAGTAATAGTCTAGATACAAGTTCATTAGCGATGTTTGGTAATCTTAATCTAAAAAAATCCCGCAAATATTAGCATTCATTGTTATTTTTCTAATGAATACCTACATATTATTAAATATATAGTCTTTTTTATATCTTACAGTTAAATGTAACTTACAATTCACGCTTTTCTTCATTTGAAGTGCATCCAAGTGCATTCAACAAGATTGACTGTGCACTAGAGTCGGCCGTTTCAGTATACAATCCCCAGAGGAAATCGAAATTAGCAGCATCACCACCACGTAGACCAGAGCAGAATACCAAGGTCTGAATATCGGGATTCAAGGGGGATCCTGGATGTAATCAAAGAAACTTTAAACATTTTTGTTTACTGACCAAAATGAACAATATACGATAGAAATATAAAAGTACAACTATAAAAATATGCCGTCAATAAAAGTTTCTATAAACCTATTCTATTCTATGTTTTACTTTCAGAGATAAAATATAGGGAGCATTATTAAATTTCGTCTAATTTCTCAAAAAACTTCTAAATTATTCGTATTTTTATATCAATTATAAAAAAATTACATAATCTATTATATAATAATAGTTGGTTGATAAGCTTTTAATAATATTTACCGTTTTGGACTTGTTGTAAGAGTTGCATAGAAGAATTCACGCAGTGTTCGTTGCCATATCTGCAGTTGAGGTCTAAAATTATATTTCTATAGTAAGGTGTAACATGCTCTTCGTCTGGTGAAGCATTGAAGGTGAGCCTCTCATACGATGATGCGGTCAATTCCAGAATAAATCTCTGTAAAATAATTTAATTTGCATATATTCTTATATCATTATCGGTTAATACGGATAAGGGGAAATTATATAATCACATGTTTATACTATTTATGATAGAATTACTTGATATGCTCTTATGTTACCTCAGAATATTCTACGTGAAAATTGGGTCTAACTTAAAAACACAAGTTTAAAAAAAAATTACAGATATGACCCAAAATGATTTTTGTGTTTGTCATATTATTTAATTAAAGCAAACGCTTCTCGCCATAAAGTATTTATATCTCTTAACTGCCCTGCAATTCTGTAAAAATCCATACCTGAATTCTTACTACAGCCGAGTTCCTACTACATATTTAGGATTACTTAGGAATGTTTTTCTAACCTATTTTTTACATAACAATATCATTATTTAAATAATTATTTTAAAATAGAATTAAAGATTTTTCGGGCACTAACTACATTTAATGACGTATTCAGATTTTTTTGTTTATCGTTTTTTCTTAGAGTGCAAAGGATCTGGTGCTTTGGAAGGCACGATAAGCCAATGGTCCTGGCTGCATCTGCACTCGTAATTACCCACCAATACGTAATGGGCCAGCATGATGGGTCATGCCCCTTTCTCCTTATTCGATTTGATCCAAAGAGAAGGCCTGAGCCTAAGCATTGGTGACATTATTAGGCTGGTGATTATGATGATGATTCTCGTAAATGTAGTTTAGTGCTTTTCCAATGAATGGTTAATTTATGGTAATAATAAATATACCTGGAAGAGTCCATATACTTCAGTCCCGCTAAGTACCACATCTAAATAACTGAACGCGACGTTGGCAGACGCCCACGGTATGTAGTCAACTTCATTGGTCAAATATGTAGCGATTTCGAACGGATGAGCATAGGACTGTAAAAAAGAAACTAATTTAAAGTATGAGTCTCAAAGGAGAACGTTCATTTATAAGATCACAAAGATCCACATCCATATATAATCCATAAAGAACCTTTGAAATGTCAAAGCTCTCAAATATAAATTCAAACATTTATCATAAATCAGTGATTTCACTTTTAGATTAAGCTGAAATTTTGCAACTTGGTTGACAATGCATATATTGAGTGGAGCTGATCTGATGATAAGACCTGAAGGTTGTGACTTCTATAATTAAGGAAACGACAACATATAATTTGGTGTTTTTATTTGTTTTGTCAATGATTTTAGTCTGAGTTACTTAGATATGTGTGTTATTTAAGGTCTTATAATGTAATCGCTGGATGGTTTTTAGAGGTTGTTATTTGTTTATTTTTTAATAATTTTGAATTATCAATTTTAGCCTAGAGGAAATCGCTATAAGCGATAAACCAGCAATTTTAATTTTCCTGTCCAAATTGTGTAATATTAACGATAAATAATTTGCTTTCATATTGCTTATTATATAAAAAGCATCTTTTAATTTTACATAAAGACTGTGTAATTTGCGATTTACGTATATATGAGGTACATAAAAATTTATATTTCCAATAATACACTTTAATTCGAAGAATCTCGAGAAATAACTCTAGACTCGTTTTCATTTCTAGAATGTTAAATAGTCATACGAATGGTAATACTATTCACACACATTTACTGTAACCAAGCATCAACATGGGGACTAGTATCCAGTATAGTAGACGACGCCTGATCAGACATAGCTTGTCTGATCAGGCGTCGTCTACTATACTAGTCACTAGTTAAAATCATCGCCAGTCATTTTCAAGTAGACCTATATAAACAATACATATTGCTTATACAGTAAAATTTCAAGATTCTCTTAACCTGATGTTTACCTAACATTGACAGAAAGATATTTAGCTCTCTATAATATCTAATCTGGAATCTTATAAGAAAAATAAAAATGACTCATGTTTGGATTTCCAAACTTTATCAGTGAATGAGAAATTATGTCCAAGTCCAACTGATGAGTTACAAATATATCTAGATACGAGTGTGTTAACGAAAAAAAATGTGATGAAATAAAATTTCCAATCTTTCCAATACAATATTTAATCGTTAACTCACGTTTTTGGTATTTAGGAACGTCGTTTATACCCACCATTCCACACTTAGTCCACGTGGTGGGTCTTGGCCCATACCCCCTATTCGATTCCAGCCATAGTCAAGGCCTGAGCCCCAGCAGTGGGAAATTGTGGGAATTAATAGGCTGATGACGATTATGAAAACTTATGATCAATAACAATGCTGTAAAATATCTATCTAGTCCTAAAGGTATTCTCACCAAGCGTCCATTTCTAGCCAGGTTGAAAGAGTCGTCAATGATTTGCGCTCTGTTCAAAACATGGATTATGGTATGATTATTTGCTAATGCTTGTGTCAATGCCCGCCAATTAGCTTCGTCGTAGTTAACCCTGTAGTAACCTATAAAAAAAATTGACGGATAATTCAGTAACGTAACGTAACTAACTGGTAGTAGTACTTTTTTTTATCAAAAAGTACAAGAATTAGTTTTGACAGTGATAAATTGTTTTGACTTATTATTTATATTCAAAAAATTATAGATTACTTTTAATATTTGAAATACACATTCACATTTCTAGGATCATATTATGATAAAATATTATTTTGTGCATTTTGCAAAATATATCTTTACATTGCATTGAAACAATTACTAATTAAACGTCTTAAAAGATGTCCTAATGATTTATTAACTGTTCCAAGAAGGTCACCAATACAACACTTCTCTTTGAATACTGAACTGATTTTGACGTTACCATTTTCCTTTTCTTATTTCGATTGTAGCTCTATTTTTTTTTAATTGATTCAATTATATTTGATCAATTTTGTGAAAAAACCAGCCACTTTCTGCAAACTGAGTGCAAATTCTTACATTTCATCCAAGCGTCTCCAATTACTAACCAGTTTGCTGCTTGTTCACAATGTACCATTCGGCACCAGATAATCCTGGCACGTCAAGTGCGGTGGCAGTGATTGAGACTGATACCCAGCCATCTGGCTTAGTATCTGAGAAATCGGGGTTGTCATTCAGCACCACGTTGACAGGTACGTGCCAACGATCAGGAGATGAAAGCGTACGGTCGGTCAAGTATCGTTCCTGTAAGACAATTGAATAGGTTTTCTATTTGCTTTACAGAATTAAACATAATTACACTTTCTTTAAGTTTTTAAAGCATTTATATACTACGAAGGTTTATACCAAGAACTAAGGTAAATAATTCGCTGCTCTAGGTTTGAATATAAATAATGACATTCGAATCAAAATATTAGACTGAATTAATTTTATTTATATAGATAAATACAAATGAGTCACTAAAATTTATTCACGCTCATAACAACAAAGCGAATCAGGAGAGGAAAGCTAGTCAATAATATGATAATATTGTTATCAATACTTTGTGTGATGTGATACTTGAAAATGATTCATGTATATAAGTGTCTACAATATTTACATGAATCTAAAATGATAAAAGATTTCATGGACAAAATGAATTAGTAATTTTGTAATTTTCAGTTGAGGACTACTATCCATTCATAATCACATTAAACTTGGAAATAAGAACTTATAGAGTTTATGATGATGATGAAATGCCAATTTTTAATACAGGGTATTAGATATTGGACATACCTAGAAATATTTTCTTTAGTTTATAAAAACCGAAAACAACAGATAATAGAACAATAAATTAAAATATCAAAGATTGTGAAGAAAATACATATACCTGCTGGAATACTAAGGAGTTGCCCGCAGCGGAAGATCTGGTTACATTAAGGACTGGGAAGCCTCCTTGAGTGGTCCAGCGTGTCAAGATAGATTCAATAGAGAAAGGAATTGAGTGATTGGAATTGTCTAAAATATACTGCAAGCTTCTGTACAAGTCTGCCGGCTGAGCTGCTTTTCGATGCCTGTTTATATTTTAAATCTCAGTTTTAATTCACATAATGTTGTCCTAAAATCCTAATATAACTGCACAAAGGTTTTATAAAAGTATTCATTACCTACCTCATTGTTATGCGAATCACGCTCAGCACGTTATTTCATCCCAATAACCATTTTATTCCGCGTAATGCACAAAATATTTCCATAAAACTTTTTACCTGAGGTTGCAAACTCCATTCCCGAACGTAAGTATAAATTATAGCTATATTTTATTTTAAGCCTCTAAATATGAACATGACTCTATATTCTGTAGTACTATATATTATATTCGGTATGTAGCTGGACTTGAATCAGCCAAAAGCAACAATTTCACAAATATTTAAAAATTAAAATCGACTTCATAAAGAGCAAAAAGTAATTCTTAAATTTAATACTATATTTTTCGAAGTTTTTTTTTTGGTACTATTACATAAAATAATCTACGATGTTACTTTAGCTCTCAAACTGTGAATATAATGACGCATACTTACATATTTTTAATATAATGAACAAGTGCTTGACGGAACAGTTCAGGAGTCATGAAGTGTTGGATCATGCGAATGACTGAGCCAGCTGCAAGCAAAAATAATTGAATTAAAACCAATAGAACTCAATAGAGGACTTTAACGATGAATGATAGCAACACAAATCCTTTAATAAGTACGTTTGTAAACTATTCAGTCAAGCCATCTTTCAGACTCGAGTCCCATAATGAATTATTGTGTAGTGGATATTGCCCTTGTGAAGGAATACTCTTCATCTAAAATCCATCAGATCTTTTGGTATTCCCAAGTAAAAGTAAATAAGGAGCTCGATATGTCAAGCCCGATTACCATCTGGTTACCGGCCAAACACGATTTCAGAGCATTCTACTTTTGCCTAGGCCTAACTAATTCTTCCTTTTTTAATTTATTTATTTCATTAATTATTAATTAATTAGTCTATCGTTATCTATTTATTTAAGTATTTTTAAACGACTAGACTTGAGCATACTAGTTTTTCTGATCTTTATATTTATTTTATGATCAACTATTTTGACCTAGCCTAAACTTTGTGCTTCAGCCTAAACTTAGGTTAATGTTTATTCTATTGGAATGTGCCTGAGCTATGCCAGTCCCTTTACAAAACTACTTTGTTCTGAAATTGGATTTGACCGATAACATGTAGACGAAATTTATAGTGGCCTAAATCGATCAAGAAAAACATGATATTGTAAGCATTTCGGGTTTTTGTTTTTCAGTAATAAAATAAAAAGGTCGTTTGTTTTACTTATTGATAATTTATTCTTATTATATTCATCAATCTATTTACCCAAAATTTCGGTCGTGTTTGTTACGTTATCAAACCTTGAATCTTATAATGTATTTATTATGAAAGTTGATAATGACGATATCACGGAAATTAACAAAGCGTAATATTACAAATGATTTTTACAAATGAATATAACTAGCATTAAATAATATTTTTAATTGTAGCATTATGTAGTATCTCATCTCTCCCACACCTTTAACTTCCTCTGACTCGTTATTTTATCATGTAACTGTAAGATATCAAGATAAATCTGTCAACGTCGCAGTTATCTTAACATCCGTTTAGTAAACAAACTTGAAATCAAGATGATTAAGCTCTTCATTCAATATGTCTATTGTGACTTAAAAGTAATGATAGTAAAAGTAATGTGACACCTTTAAAAAAAATTCGTAGTGCAATACTCGATTGATAAAATTAAAGCTGCTATGGTAAATGAATGAAGCCAGTAATTGGACTGTTGGTCACAATTCGAAGCATGTGTTTTAAAATTAATCCTTATGTGAACCTGATTGTTTTCTCTAACGAACACTATTAACGACACCTCGCAAACTTCATACAGTCTTATAATTAATAATTCTAAAAATTTATAATTAATAATTCTAAAAATTAAAATTAATAAATAAATACAGTTTTCTTATTTAGTGCAAGTTCTTAACTTATTTGTATTCGATTAGTTACACTTGAAAGTCTTAGATAAAAACTCACATTTTTGGTAAGCGACAGCGTTGAATGTGCCCAAGATCTGGGAAGGAGTAAATACGGGATGCGTCATGGGGTTGATACTTATCACCGCATCAGATTGAAACACATTCTGCATATTGATCACAAACTGATCCATCATTCGCCATTCTTGAAGTACCTGCAATCATGTTTATGTCTTCAGTGAAGTGTTTTAAGAAGATAAGTCCTATGTAATTAAAAAATAAATAAACAATTAGATACCATTTAATGGAACAACTTTAAACGGTTTCATCGCTTTTGTGTTTTCTTTTATTGACGTTTCGGACCCTTTACAGGTTCCGTGTTTAAATAAGTCTCATGTGAATGGATAGTGCGCGTGATATATAAGAAATCAATAGATACCATTTATTAATGTTAAGAAAGAACGTTGTCGCTAAATTTCTGATTAATCAATTGTAGATATATTAACATAGTAATTTTTCCAAAGATTTATATCTAATATAGTGAGATAGATATACTATACAAATACAGAACATAACGTTTTGCGAAACATCAATATCCCTAGTTGTAAATAAGGTTGGTCCATCATGGTCAACAAATAATCGAAAGTCTTATGATGAGTAAAATCCTTAAATTGGTGTTAGTGATTAAGTACGCACTAAATTAAAATCTTTAAATGAAACAGGCAACGAAAACAAACGAATGAACCAATTACTTTTTTTATTAAGCTTACCAAGTCTGTAGCGAAATTCTCAAAGAAGTTTGCGAAACCTTCGTTGAGCCAAGTATAAGTCCAAGAGTAGGGACTCACTTCATTACCAAACCACATGTGCATATTTTCGTGACATATTATTCTGCCGATGTTTTGTCTAGTCGCAGTTGTAGTAACGCCTTCAGTGACAAGTAGGGCTACTTCTCTGATGACAAAAAATAGAAAAGTAGAGGAAATCGGATATGCTGGGAAAAATGCTGCACAACAAAACAATGCTGCATATTAAATAACATTTAATAAGTTAACTATTACTATAATAATAAATTGATGTATGATTAATTTTTGATTGCAAGTAATTTTTAGCATAATCATAGAATATAAAACCGTTGAAATAGAAAGTCCATGGAGTGCAGCTAAGTGAAGTTAGTGATGAGTAACTACGAAAATAAAAATAATTAGTAAAGTAGATAGAGAAAATGCTTTAAAACAATTTCAACGTCTCTTATATAAATATGTAAGAAACCTCGTCTACAATATTTTTAAATCGACATTAAGCGTATTCAAATTTGATGCTTTTATCAAACTTGAATTCGCATGGAACTGGATTTTGGTGATATTTTTAATATAAATTAATCTTTGATGATTACTTAATATGGACAACACTATTTGGAAAATACCAACCTGTAGATTACCAAACCCCAATTTTCCATGGCGCCAGCAGCAAAATCAGGTACAGCTGCTTTATCTAGTTTCGGGAAGACATACTCGAATTCTGTATATTCTTCCAATTTTACCATATTCTTTTGGCCAAATTCCATAGCAAATACAGCGTTATTTTTTGTTCCTGGTCTAGAGAATACCTTGAAAGGGATGTGATAGATAAGATTATCTTCATTGGAGAGGTGTTCGAAGTTTGAAACCAAGTAAGCTAGTAAATACGTCGACATAATCTCGGTGTCTTGGAATTCGTGCCTCACCCATCCATTAGATTCAGTACTAAAAAAAAGTAAATATATTTTTATCGCTCCTTAACAATAATATTTTTATATCAATATTCTTAAAATGTTTAGCGCCTCGCTGATTTCAGAGAGTCAGACGAATGAAGAGGTCATCTTTGAAGTCTTGCTATTATATTCCCCATTTGGATCAATATATGTGTAAGGTGTCTGTTTTTATAATAAAAGGACTTTAGGTACTAAATATCCGAGAAATGTATATAATGTTGACTAATTTTTAAATGCAAATTTAAGTCTCTTTATTAGACGTCATGGTATTCTTATATATAAGTAACATAACAATGTCCATGATGATCTCTGAAAACTAGGCTTCCTTATATTTTTTTACTATTACTTATAATTCGATCATTTTAATCAAATAAAATGCAGACATATTTTACAGAGTTGGGTTACTAAAAAAACAGTGATATTGACCTGTTGTTGATTTCTGGCATGTTAGTTCTGACAACAGTATAATTTGCAGGAGAAACGATAGTAGTCCTGAATATTGCTTTGATTGCTGGTTCATCGTAACAGGGAAATGCACGGCGGGCAAAAGTAGGCTGTAGTTGTGAGGTGATAAGTTTTCTAAAATCAAAAATTATTATAATGAACCAGTGCTATCTCAAAAAAACATATTCAAAATCAAAAAGAACAAATATACACCATGGGAATTTTTGTTGGATGCATTAAACATTAAGTTCAATAATACTTATAATAATATTACTGAATTTCTTATTAATTAACATATATATAAAAAGAATAAAAAAGGAAAAGTTTGGATAAATTTCCTATCTTCAACAATAAAGTAAATAATACTAAATTTTCGTATGCTCTTGTCAATCTTAAACGTTTTTAACACTATCAACATTTTGTTTTCTATGACTATCCAATAACCTAGCAGACTGATTCCCATATAATATTTTTCGGCTCTTTTGTATACACGAAATATAAAGAAAAGTTTCTGTTGTTAATTAATACTGCCAATAAAACTAAATAAAACAATAAAAACTAAATTTTGATAATACTCACTGTGGGATTCCATTCTCAGCATAAGTTGACACATATATACCAAACATATTGGTTGCATAATGACCAACGTAATTTATGTTAAGAATGTAGACTCGAGATTCGATTAGAGTCTCAGCTAAATGTATTCTAAGTAAATGTGTGTCATCTGTAGCCAGATCGTGATTTAAATAAATATTATTATCTGCATTTATATTATTACTCGTCGTTGTAAGAACCTCAATACTGTCAATGGACATTTCCATAGCATGAAGAACAATGACGTTAGTTGCCATATTTGGTACGATCCTAATAGAAACGTTTCCGTAGAAATAGTCTTCATTATCAGGGTCTAAATACAAAGTGACGTCGTAGAATGTAGGAGTTGATTCTCTAGGCAAGTTGTACATAGCAGCGAGGTCCTCATTGCGTGGTTCGGCTACTGGTATCGTTGATGAAGCAACCGAGCCCAGAAGGGCTCCGAGTAGAAGAAGGTACATATCTATAAAGAAATAAATTTACATAGAATCACTTTACACTTTTGCAAAAATTCACTAGCAAAATCAAGAGTTTCGATAGAAAATGGGATAAAAATAAAAACAATTACGTTTTGGAACTTTGGAAGAAATACTTTCTTAGCGATAAGGCGTACTTCTTTTTTGATATTTATGTTTCATTGATATTCGTATGGAAAGGCGTTTGATTAAATCAAAGCATATTACATAGTGTAATATCAAATTAGTTTTACGATTTATAAGTTATATATATATATATAAAAAATTCTTGCGTTACTAAGTGACTGACTGACTGACGGACAACATACAGCCGAAACTACTGAGCGTAGAAAGTTGCAATTTGGAATAAAAATTCCTTAGGAAGTGTAGAGGAACACTAAGAAAGATTTTATAAAAATTCCACTCCGAAGGGACTAAATTAGGAGATGAAAGTTTTAATGGAATTTTATCATTCGCCGAAGCCGCGAGAAAAAGCTAGTATATTACAGGACATCTACCATCTCAAATACAGAACTGACGTTATGGATATTATAAAATAAATTCTACGCAACGATTATCATTCTTAATTGTGGAATTATTTTTCTCGATGTAACTCTTTAGACGGAGTAAAATGATAAACTTAAAAACTAAAAACGTATCTAATGTAAGTGTCTTTTATCGATTGGATATACATTTTATCAATAAGAGTCCGCTATCGCAGCATGATACTGTGGTGAATTCCTAAAGTGTACAATCGAATCTAAAAAAGTGTGCTATCACTCAATTGTAGATAATGGTATTGCTAAATCATTTTGTTAACTACAGCACAGATACACATAAACTAAACTATAACTATAGTAAAGTGACTTTGGAATTTGTAATCCACCTAGTGAAAATAAAAATACAAAAATTGTCTTTATGAAACCATATCCTGATAATAACTAGCTAATTTGGCGCAGTCATTTTAAACTTGCATCCATTTCGGTGATTCATTTTATATTTCATTTATAATATGGATTATTTCCAAGAACGAAGTTATTGTTTATCAAATTTCGTGAACCTATTTATGGTGATCACTATATCCGCTACTAATTTTAAGTATAGTCAACAATACAACAGTATACAAAAGTGTTTTTCCTTAATGCTTTGTTAATTGAGTTTAGAATAGATTGCAGAATTTTACAGTGTTATTACAAAAAAGATAAACACGCGTTGAACACGTATTTAAAAATTGTTCTATTTGAGCATTGCTTAAGGCAAAACAACCCTTAAACATTGTTTAAAATTTAAACACAAGTCATGTTGACACATAATATGTTGTTTATGGAGTATCTTACCTTTCACAATATTTCACTATAGTTTTGACTTTGATAAGAATTATGTCTTTGAATTTAAATTAAAAACGATAATTTTAGATTAAATATTTTCATTTACAAAAATTATTAACTAGTGTGTTTAAAAGATATCTTTTTACGTCTAAAATTTATTATAAATTTGTAAACAGCGTGCATAGAATTGAACGTGTATGAACGAATGAAAGCCAGTAGTACGAATGTTTCTTTACTTAGACAATGTTTAAAAATGAATTTGTAATAGGGAAAATTAGACATCATTTTAAACAGGGTTTTTAATTATTAAACACAGTTTAGATAAACACATGGTAAAACACTGTTTAACGTCTCTTTTGTAATAACACTGTTAAAATTTTGGTTCTAATTAGACGTGTGTGCGTGTTGTGTACTTTGATATATAATAGTACTATTTGGAACCTATTTCATTTTAGAAAGTGTTACTGTTAAAGCTTAAATTGAGTTAACACAACCAACCTATTAATGTCCCCCCCTGCTGGGACTGACTAGTGAGAACCACGTGGGCTCAGTGCGGCTTGGGCATTCACGATTTCAGATGCAGCCGGGATAAACGGATTAACGTGCCTTTCGAAGCACGGACAAGCTCGAAATAATTTTATTTGGTCACCCATCCTACCACGGGCAAAAGTTGCTTAACAATCGTATCCTATATCTACTGCGCTAAACACTGTGCCATCCACCTTTTCACCTTGAGATTAATTAAAGTATCTCTAGAAAAGTTTTGAACTAATTTGGCAAGATCGCGTCAAGTGACGATAGAACATGGACTTTGCTATATATTTATGACCATATTTTAAGTGACATGTTACAAATACTTCCATTCCCTGAGTGATCATGATTTTGGCTCACATCGTATGCGAACAGTAATATCTTTCGAATCAAAAGCCCATATATTGCCGGAACCTCTTCTTCCTTACTGTGGCCGGAACCCTTCGGTAAATATAGCTGTCGTAATTTTGATCTACAATATTTTTTCGGTTCTCTTGAGTTGCTCTCTGCATAAATTGTAAACAGTTGATGGTTGTGAGTTAAGACTTATGTTCTCGCGGACTATGTATATAATTCCATTTAATACTAACAAGAGAGTAGTATAATTCCAATTACACATTAGCGTTTATAACCCTCGTATTCTGTCTAACAAGCATATCGGGTCTCGGGATTTATGTATTCTTCCTTACAAAATGTTAGCAATCTGCAGATGCAAAATTTACTGATTGCCCCGGTAACATTTTATTTATTTAGGAAAACAAACAGTCGTTTACATTATATATCATTTTTTTAACTAATAGACCTATTTCTTTTACTGAAATAGGTCTATCAGTTTCTTTTACTAAATACTAATACATTCCTTTAAATACTCTTATTACATAGGTATGAAATGAAAAGGGTAACTGAAAAATGTTACGATATAATTCTTAAAAAAAAGAAGTAAAAAATATTTTTCACATCATGCTTGTACTTGAATATGATAAAATATAAATAAATATACTTAAAACTAAAGTTTTCTAAAATAAATGAAATTTATTGCGTTCATTTTATTTACTGTTGCAAGCTACTGATAGGAAATGGTCTTATATTTTAATATCTTTACAAATTATGCACATTATTTATCTTGTGTTTTATCTATTTTTGTATGTTCATATCTATAAATGTTTTTCAAACTTAATCTTTCAATCTTTATTGTTGATTTTCAACGCACAGCTCAAATTGCTGGTGTTTTGCCGAGAAAGCATTTTAAATGGAGCTCGAACAAATTTCAAAATTCCATTTATTCAAACATGTAATCCAAACTGACAAAGCCGCGGTCGGTATAGTATACCGATAAGAAAGTATTACACATTCGGCAGATTGTCTGTTAATTATAAAGAAAAAATACTGGAATGCACAACCTTTTGAAATCACTAGAACAAGATTTGACGGATACGTTTCAATATTCACAAAAACTTATAAAACGACGATTGATTAAATATTCTAAAATACGCATTTCCACAATTACTAATGAGAGTTTATTTTTCTTTAGCATGATACGGAAGTTCGATCTGGGTTACGTTGTAAGGATACTTTCTCAATGGCTGATTAAGACCATTCTATGGAATGGGTGACCAAAAAATTTTGAATTCGTCCATGCCTCAGATGGCATGATTTTTTGGTCCAGGGCGTTAATACCTACCAAACTGCATTGGGTCCGCGTGGTGAGTCATGGCCCATTCTACCTATTCGATTGAGTGGTTACATTAATAGGCTGGTGACAATTTATTTTTTGCTTCAAATGTACAGTATATTTAAAGTTTTGCAAGAATTATCGTTTTATCAGATAACTATGTTAGTTTTATAATTAAAATAATATAACATACCTGTATAACCCGAACCACTAACCTAACCGTAATGAATTATATTAATTGGATTTATTAGCAAGAGATAAATTCATTTTTATCAGATAAAAAGAATTTATATCTATCTTTATCAAAACTAATAATAATTGTATACTATCTATATAATATAATATTATGGTAATTACTTTTTTATAGATAAGTCAGAAGTCTAAACGATGTTTCAGTGAAATAGAGCAATTTATATTGCAAGCAAAAGACACCTTGCTGATTTTCTTATTAATATATATAAAAAGGAAAGGCCACTCACTCACTCATCACGAAAAATCAGAAACCACAAGTGCTAGGAGTTTCAAATTTTGCTACACTTAGACGGGATTTTATGAAATTCAACATCTAAAATAAAGTGATGAAAGTTTTTATGAAATTTTCTTATTTCTGGACATAAAACTTAGATCACGGGGGCGAAGCCGCTGGCGGAAGGGTAGTACTCTTATATAATTCTTATGACAATCTAACGATGGAGCTGACAATAGCTATTAGACCTATTTTAGTTAAACGAAGCACCCGTATTGAGTTTGGTATATTTTGTTTTTTCTTGACAAAGACGTTGGTCCGAAATAATAACCAATGTCTCATGAAACCAGAAAGCGGTCATGGGAAATTTATAATTAAATGATACAACACCGTCGAGTTTGAGCTTTTTAGGTAACATCCAATAAAAGCTTTATCATCATGATCACCGTTCTTCCGTCCTCACTGCAAGGATTCAGACATTCCCTATTGATTGTTAAGGATCCCATGACACACCACGCTAGCCCAATATGGATCCCATCCCGTGACCGACCCTTGCGAAGGTTGCTTGACAACAGCGATTGCTAACCGATTGCTGGCCTGGCTTATCTACAACGCCACTGAGTTAATCAACTGGATACTCGAGTCACATAAAAGCTTATAAAAATAAGTAGTAATTTTGATTAACCGTACCTGATGACGAGTGGCAATCTTATACTAGTACGTACGTAGTATGTACGTTTTTTTACTAGGTGTACCAGCTTTTATTAGAATATATCCATCATATATGCGTCATCGGCACTAGTATAATATAAAAGACTGTTTTTTAGCTTCCTTTATGATATAGAGTACAATACTCTATTTTAGAGTACGTTTGTCAATTCTTTCTTAAACGCACACAAAGTGTTTTTATTAACGCTTGAGAATTCTGTTAACATAACCTCCAACATTTCTGAAGATAGTACGTCTGTTGATGATCATATTTTATATTTCATCATCAACATTGTCATGT